AATACGTTCTCTGCAGTTTTGATTGTAAATGTAAAGTTGTAAATTCATCAACGATGTTTAAAAAATGATATACTGAAAGTGAAATGTATATGTCTAGCCCGTGTCACCTCACACAGGTTGATATATAGAACATGAACTGTTGTTGTAACTCTACTATTGATTCTTTATACTTTCTATAGTAAATGAAGTATGTCATTCCAGATGTTTGTTCCAGAACAATGTTTACCAGTCAACATCTCGAAGCATTACTGACGTCAGCTTCCGGCCAAATGTTTACATGTCGTCTGCCATCATGAACATATTTGCTGATTATACCGCTGATGATATTGATGACGTCCTCAATAACAGATTAAGTTCAAACACCGAAAAATGTATAGAAGTGAAACACAACGCATTAGCACAGGATTTATTCTTAGAAAAGTCCAAAACGGAAACCTGTGAAATTTTGGAGAAATTTTATTGTTTTTTCTTAGATATCAATGATAGAAGGCATAACAAAACATTTGTAGAATGGATTTTCGGTTATGTTGAACCCGCGGACCAAAGTGTTGCCTGAGGCCTTCGGCCTCTGGTTCAACGTAACACATGTTGACCTCAAACCCAGTCAACAAATGCATAATGTTGGATATTAATGTTTACTCTGTGCGTAACATGTCAGCCACTTTTAAAAATGCAAACAAGAAAATACCAACTTAGGAACAATTATAATCCACATTCAAAGTAAATAAAACTGGAGCACAATGTAAACAAAGAAATATCTACATGGGGACTTCAGAAAAAGGTTGAAGGCATCCCGTGATTATAGCCCGCCATCTTTGAACAGTGTAAACTAATGTTTAGACTTACATATTACATGGTTATATGAAGTGTGTCCTGTTTAACATGCTGTCAGCTGGTCAATAGGTACAGTGACGTTAACGATAGAGTTTAGACAGATTATTGATCGTGTATTGCTATTCCACAAATCCAGAGACACCAGAGATATAATTTTCAACGTTTCTCTCTTTACTCTTCATCAAACACTTATCGTCCGTATCGTTGCTAATGAGCACGGTCTAATATTACATAATCTAGCTCAAGGGGACATTAGATTTGTATAGCTTAACCTAATGTACAGAACTTACTTTTACAAATTGTTTTCTCAAGGTTGATTCAAAATAAAGGTTCTAAAAACTATAAAATTAATCTTGTTTACTATTTAGATCAACTTGATAATTCCCCTTCAATAACATATATATCAATATAGTGAATATTTTAATTCTGTCCTGCCGTACACTACCTGATTATTACCAGCGTGAGAAACTCGTGGCATGACTACAATGACCGCGATGACACTGTTGGCTGTCTAGTCCAGAACTAACGTTATTACTTATCATTATTTATTCCACAATTAAACTCTGTCTCAAATCAGAGTTGCAGTCTCGTGATACTGTTTACTTGAGAAGTGGAATTGATAATATGTGGATTCTAAGAAACTCCAAAGAGCTCTTAGACTATCCTCTCCTAAAATGCCCTTTTCCTAAAAGTACATTTGATTTTTCCACTCGCTACACTACAGTTGATCAGAACACATTCATCACTGAAGGAAGTCTTCATTATTCAGGTAAGAACGTTTTCTTTTCTGGAAAGGCGAACACTGGTACTAACATATGGATTCTAGTTGTGAACTAAAATGGTGAGTATTTATGAAATCCATCTAAAGCAAAGCAGAAATAAATGGAGGATGCAAAGATGATGCAATCTTTCGTCGAGTTTGAAGGTAAAATCCTCCAACAGACTATTTCCATCTATATTGGAACAAACTGTGTCCATACTTTGACTTACTCCATCGTATAAGCCGCTTACCCTGATCTTTTCCAACAACGAAACCAACAGGGACAACGTTCCGTTCAGCTGAATGATCGTAATGAATTCGGTTTCCTTGTGATGTTTTCTCTTTTCGTTTTCCGGATAGTAAAATCCACGTTTCGTTTTCTTACGGTGTTTAAATGTCACCGTTGGTTCGATATTCAAGGATTTGATCAGATAAACTCCTTCCACAGGGTTTCGAGAGGTGCAGGTTGATGAAGAGGGGAGATGTTTGGTAGTTATAACGATCTCAATAGGTGAGAACAATGTTCGTGATTATAACTGAGGATTCCGTTAACTCTGCAATCAAAAGGGAAAGTGGTATCACTTATCATATAATGTATTTGTATTGCAACAAGATTTGGCTATAGATTCATTAAGTTTGAGTTTGGATTGAGATAACGCTGACATCTCTGTGGGTTATTGAGTAAACTATTAAACATCGCTTCTGGAAACTAACACGAACCTTCCGATTTAAAAGATTAAACATCATCGCTTGTAGTAATATCGATTGTCCTTAGGTTTAAAGTGCTACGAAGTATTCAAACCTGAAAGTTGAGAGGTTTTATGTAAATCGCAGTTCCAGGTGAAACATGAATATAGAAGTTAATTATGCATAAAGCATTCATCAACGGATTCTCCGTAAAGCTTTTAGATTCAGAAGCTTACGATAGGCCGAAAGTTATTAATAAAAGAAAGCAGTATTGATAATGTTTCCAGTAGATGAAAATCATTAAATGACCAACAAAGTGGCTTCACCATTCATGCGTATCAACACCAACAATATCGCGATAGCCGGGAACTCTCCATTCATCCTGATCATAAATGTATACAAAGGTCATATTCACGACAGTCAACCAACTGTTTCGATTTCCTGAAAGACTATTGACCTACTCACAACAGTCAATATGTCCATAGTCTCTCGTCAATTAGACTGTTGGGATTATGTTTGCTTTTCATTTCGTCGGAGTTCATTCTCTCGTCTTGTGCGAATGCTTCAGTGCGTTATTTCATCATTGAATTTAATCGAAGTCCAACCTTTTTTTGTACCATATCATTTTTACCATACTTCAACACTAGTAAGACGGTGCAAAATGACCCAAGAAAATTATCTCTATGTCACGTTTAAGGTATGTCTGCTAACAGAATGCTAAACTTAGTTAAGATTTTAAGGAAGGAATGTATTATTTTTTTTTCAAAATGCTTTTGTCATTATTCATTAGTAGATTCTTCTCTTTTCAATTATCACCACTTATTATTTTTGGACTTAAAGATCATCCCGTCATCCAAATCAATAGCCAATTAACAGGCTTTTGATAACTTACTCCACGACATAGAAAAGATTTTTTTTCATTCACGATGTCTGATACAAACTTCCTCGTGACTATATAAAGTTGACCAATCACAAAACATCCCAATTGCAATGGTTATCATGCTTGCCTGTCAAGCGGTTTACTGCGCTCGGACAGACTCCAAGGATTCCTGGTTCTTTTGTATGTTGTAGTTATAATGCATTCGCCTGCTACCCATAGTTAATTAGAAGTTAGGCACAAGATACAATTATCATCAAAATCGTGTGTTTATTATCTTAAATATGATACCAAATTCTGCAATATTACACAAATCATACAGGTTTGTCAATTCATGCTTTACATTTCACAAATGTTAAATCAAACACTCGCTCTTTCTTAATGCTGTATAGCAGTTCTTTCTCTTCGTATAAACAGAAACATTATACACACAAAATCTTTAACGTTCTACATTCGATTCCTTTCATTTTTCCAATCCAGTTGGACTAAAGGAACCCTCCAAATGTTTTATTTGTCGTACAAATTTATCATAAAGATTGTCTGGGCGTATGAATTCATTTTATGCTATCAAAGACAACACGAACAAATCATAACATTTAGACAAACAGAAAACATGTTTTCATAAACAAAACCTCACAAGGACCTTCTTATTCAAAATTGATTTACTATTACCGAACTATGTGTTCACTTTGACGTGAGCACGTGGTATTAAAGCCGTTATTGAAATGAACGGATGATTATTGCTTTGGATGATCCGATTGGAAGACCTATGAGTTGGTCGTCAAGCAAATTCAACATCTGAACTACTACGTAGTGTGTTCAATTTATCTCTTGACAAACACCTTTATGGAACAAAACGTGGTTAGTTAAATAAATTTCGTCCATAATGCAACAAGTGCAAGGCCATAACATTTTTCAAGTATTTGGAATAAATACGATTTAAAATGTCTTTCTGGATATGTTCACATTCAAATCCAAAATACAACGTGAATGTGTTCACTTATCAGAGATTCGACCACGTGATAGACGCAGTTAATGTACAGCATGTATATATCAAACAATAATTATGACTATATAGAAACAGCTATGTCACTCCAAATGTACCCCGTCTGTTTGTAACAATCCTTATTGCGATATTTTAAGGAGAATCCCTTGTATCAGAAAAAAAATCTTTGGAACCAACAGAAATGAAGTGTTGATATTTCATGGGTCCCATAAACTTCATGAAAACCATGTATGTTATAAACTGCACACGTTTCTCTGTTGAGACTTAACTTATAGTGGAATTGTCACATGCAATCATGGATGTAGGTAACATAGACATCTATAAAGAAAACAAATAAATATACATAGCAATGATTCCACATCGGTGAGCATTTACGACGTCACAGCATACAGACAAAATCAACTGAAGCACTTTAGAGTAAAGTCTTAAGCGAGAGAATGATTCCATAGGTACAATATTGTCCTGTCGTGGTTCTAGAACCATTCGTTTGGCATTGGTATCTCCTAAGTGTTGCCGTGATGCAGGTCAAGGCCATCCTAGTAATGTAGTTCTAGGTTTTAGTACAGCTGCACTTATTTGTGGTATTGGTCAAGGTCGACCTTACCCGGAATGTGTCAATGAAAAATGAAGAATGAGTCTCACTCACAAATACACAGTCATCCAACCATAAACACGAAGCACTCCAAGGATAATCGTTGAAAGGGAAGTTAAACAACGAGTTTTCCTTTAGATCACACTACGTTGGTTGTTAAAACCGACTTCTAGACAAATAAGTAAAAGTCATTATTGTCTAATAATGCATTAAAAAGGGTCATTTACAGGGTTCGGAAATGTACTCATACATTTTTACAGCGAGCAATGTCTTCCGTAGCGAGGAAGGGAAGGACCTTGAGCATATCCTGTATTCCACGTTCCACTGAGACTGTTGCAGAGTAACCCAATTTTCGGATCTTTGCGTATGACACCTCATAGTCCCTCTTATCTTTGTCCTCGCCAGAGTTAGATTCCGTGATTTTACATCCGGGTACGTTACTTTGAATTACACGGGCAACATGTGATTTTGTCATGTTCATTTTTTCATCGCCAACATTGTAGGCCTGTCCTTTCATAGCATCAAAGTTGGAAAGTGCAAATACAAAAGCACGTGCAGCGTCTTTCACATGGAGAAAAGTACGACGGAAATTTCCTTCGTACAGGTCAAATTCCTTCAAGGTTAATGCTTTATGGGTTAAATCGTTAATAAGGAGATCTAGACGTAGTCGAGGTGACAGACCAAACACAGTAGCGAGTCGAAGAGCGACCCCGCCCACGTCTAGGACGAGTTTCTCACCCTCTGCTTTGCTGCCACCGTACAGAGTGAGCGGGCTAATCCCAGTCTCTTCTGTACACACGCCCTCTACCGCTCCGTAACACGAACCCGTACTAGCGTACACCAAGATCTGGTCCGGGCGCTTCAGCTCAGTAATCATCCGCGTCCCACCGACGTTGGTATCAATGGCCAGATCGGGATCTTTGTCACATGCTGGATATCCAACAATGGCAGCCAAATGAATAATTGCAATTTTATCATGCATAACCTCGGCCAGCTGATCCCTGTTGCGAACATCTCCTTTTACAATGTGAAACCGTGGGTTCTGAGCGAAGTTGAGGATGGGATGCAGCCCCCATTTAAAGATATCATATACAGTAACTTCGTATCCATCTTCGAGAAGAATCGGGATCATTGTTGTTCCCAGGTAACCAGCCCCTCCTGTCAACAACACGTGACCTTTGCTTTCACTGTTGCCTAATTCGGCTCCTGCTGCAAGTGGTGTCGCCATTGTATCTGAAAGACAGGAAACATTAAGATATTATCTTGGTCCGTAGATTTTGGCCTGTCAACACCCGACTTTTTAAATTCCTGACTATTGTTTCTTGTTACAAGCAGATATTTTAACTATCTGATCAATGACTTGTATACTGATATAGTTACTCTATTCATATCTGTAACAGTAGGTCAGTGACGGGAAGGTAAATCTATGGCTGTGCAAGCCAGTTCTCAAATCTAAGGACATGAACACACTGATATAAACTAACAATAAAGTATATAAAGACATAAACTGAATCAATAAACACCGTGAAGTCAGAACAGAATTCAATATCTGTGTTCACACAGAATCTAGACATATTGGATTCACATTCACATAGAATACCCGACCTAACTAAACATATTGGATTCCCATAGAATACCTTACCTAACTAAACATATTGGATTCCCATAGAATACCCGACCGGACTAGACATACTGTATTCACATTCACATAGAATACACGACCGAACTAGACACAGTTGGCCAAGCCTTTAAACATGGCTGTTTTTTTTAATACAAATCAGAAATGGATTTTTTTGCGTACATGTTACTCCGTTGTTGTGCTGTGTATTTCCTTAATCATGGATCAAAAGTCTAAATCACCATACTGTAAAAAATGTTCCATGCCAACTCTTGACACATATGAATAACATATGATGTTTCTGAGATTGTTAAATGAATGCTTGCGTAATTTGATAGAGTTCTCCAATGTATTTACTGTTGATAAAAGGGTAATTATTTCTCTAACTACTGTTATATAATAATAACACAATGTTGCAATTACACGGACAAAAGATTAGGTCGATCAGGTACCTAAATTAATATTGAAAAATTGACGGTAATTAGATTATTGTCCAAGTATCAATACAATCATCCGTTCTCCGAAAAAATTCGTAAATAATCGGTGTGACATAATTTGCACGGCGGCGATTAACTCTATTCACGTGGGCAGTGCATTTGTTCCCCTTGACAACGAACAGAAACATTTAGACTCAAAAGAGTAAGGTTTCAGTATGTTTGACTACTTAGAAAGTAGAAAGGGGTTCGAATATCTGATTGGTTTCAAAGGATAAAGTGGTTTGATTATAATCTAATGAGACTGCAAATATGTGTTATGACTGAACACGTCCCGCTTATTGGCGGTTACTATGTGTGCCGGTAATCAGTAGACACGTCATTACATCATAACAATGTATTAGTCTATTTGTTGAGTCTATATATAGTTATCACCCTGTGATCAACTGGTGTCATTTTGAGACAGGTCCTCCTTTAGCTTTTGACAACATACGGGTAGCCCTTCGCCTGCCGCCGAGAGCTCTATAAGTGTAAAATGTCTTGCCAGGAATCCGCATCCCAGACGGTCCTGAGACTGAATACGTTCTGAATTTGACAATAATTCGAGATATAGTCTTTACAAACTAAATATAAAAGTCTGGATGTAGGATAAACATTATATCTTAACACATACAGATTTAATCGAAGTAAGTCCCAACATAATTTCATTTCCCCCATAATTACTCCCGTAAGTGTTTTTCACTCTGTTTATTATATGGATTATTTCGCGATGATAACGTTGATACGAAATGTTACCGTTACAGTACTCTACATCGTATGTCAATTGGTCGATTTTCCAGGTGAGAATTGCCAGGAAATACATATTTATGTCACCGTGAACGTGTGTACAATCAATGAACTTCAATGCATCATAAAATCACTTTATTGTTCTACTCAAGTGAGTGTTACAAGCATTGTGTTTACGGTCAGTGACACGGCAGGCAACATCTATGGACTGTGTAATGTATAATAATTATTACACTGATACAGAATTCCGGGTAACCATTTCTGTAGTTGCGAAATCTGACATAGTGCTTCACGTTTATATTCAGAGAAAATTGTTGGTTTTCACATTGTTTAATACATTTGTCAAAACTGGGTGGTCATGTGAGTCTGAAAACACTTTTACTTGTATACAACAGGGAAATAATAACAATAATTCTGGTCGTGAGGTTATTACATATTGGTACCAGGGATGTATAACAGTATACGCCCCTAATCATACAGCTACAAAAAGGAAACAGAAATGAATCCCTTCGAAAATTAATTATAAACTTTCCATTAAGTAACCTAATTGAGTATCCATGGTAAATCTGCTTGTACAGTATTGACTCAAAGATTGAAATATAGCTTAAAACCAATTACAAGTTAAGGCGAGTCGATTCTACACGAGGGGACGTAAAAAATGTTCTTATCATGCTCCTTGTCCGCTAACTTTGGGGTCAAATGGGTATAGTCTATTCAGGACGACCTGGTATGATCCACAGTGCATTGTATACCTAGACTGAGATTATCGTCCTGGAGCAAGCAAGCAGAACACAAGACTATATATCATGTGCAGTGTAGTGGGGTATTTCATCATATGTGTATACTAATGTCCTGGTATAGGTGACGGGTTATTATATAATGTCCTGGTATAGGTGACGGGTTATTATATAATGTCCTGGTATAGGTGACGGGTTATTATATAATGTCCTGGTATAGGTGACGGGTTATTATATAATGTCCTGGTATAGGTGACGGGTTATTATATAATGTCCTGGTATAGGTGACGGGTTATCATACATTGTCCTTGTATAGGTGACGGGTTATCATATAATGTCCTGGTAAAGGTGACGGGTTATCATATAATGTCCTGGTATAGGGGACGGGTTATTATGTAATGTCCTGGTATAGGTGACGGGTTATCATATAATGTCCTGGTATAGGTGACGGGTTATTATATAATGTCCTGGTATAGGTGACGGGTTATTATATAATGTCCTGGTATAGGTGACGGGTTATTATATAATTTCCTGGTATAGGTGACGGTTTATCATACATTGTCCTTGTATAGGTGACGGGTTATCATACCATGTCCTGGTATAGGTGACGGGTTATCATATAATGTCCTGGTATAGATGACGGGTTATCATATAATGTCCTGGCATAGGGGTAATGTCCTGGTATAGGTGACGGGTTATCATATAATGTCCTGGTATAGGTGACGGGTTATTATATAATGTCCTGGTATAGGGGACGGGTTATTATATAATGTCCTGATATGTGACGGGTTATTATATAATGTCCTGGTGTAGGTGACGGGTTATCATATAGTGTCCTGGTATATGTGACGGGTTACTATATAATGTCCTGGTATAGGTGATGGGTTATTATATAATGTCCTGGTATAGGTGACGGGCTATTTTTATAATGTCCTGATATAGGTGACGGGTTATTATATAATGTCCTGGTGTAGGTGACGGGTTATCATATAGTGTCCTGGTATATGTGACGGGTTACTATATAATGTCCTGGTATAGGTGATGGGTTATTATATAATGTCCTGGTATAGGTGACGGGGTATTACATAATGTCCTTGTATAGGTGTCGGGGTATTACATAATGTCCTTGTATAGGTGTCGGGTTACCATGTAATGTCCTGGTATAGGTGACGGGGTATTACTTAATGTCCTTGTATAGGTGTCGGGTTACCATGTAATGTCCTGGTATAGGTGACGGGGTATAACTTAATGTCCTTGTATAGATGTCGGGTTACCATGTAATGTCCTGGTATAGGTGACGGGTTATTATATAATGTCCTAGTGTTGGCGACTGGTTATCATATAATGTCCTGGTAAAGGTGACGGGTTATTACATAATGTCCTGGTGTAGGTGACGGGTTATTATATAATGTCCTGATATCGTGGTGTGGGTGACGGGGTATTATAGACACTGATATCGTGGTGTGGGTGACGGGTTATTATAGACACTGATGTCGTGGTGTGGGTGACGGGTTATTATATGCACTGATATCGTGGTGTGGGTGACAGGTTATTATATACACTGATATCGTGGTGTGGGTGACGGGTTATTATAGACACTGATATCGTGGTGTGGGTGACGGGTTATTATATGCACTGATATCGTGGTGTGGGTGACAGGTTATTATATACACTGATATCGTGGTGTGGGTGACGGGTTATTATAGACACTGATATCGTGGTGTGGGTGACGGGGTATTATATACACTTATATATCGTGGTGTTGCTGACGGGTTATTATAGACACTTGTTATCGTCGTGTGGGTGACGAGGTATTACATACAATAATATATCTTTATGTGAATGAAGCGGTATTATATATAACAATGGGCTAATATGAAGGGGATTTAGAATAACTTATTTCAACTGACATGTGTCACTAATTTTGGATGAGACAAGAGACTCGGAATCAAATCATATTGGCTGGCAGATGACCGACACTGTATTCCATTCCCGATCATGGAATCGAAAAAGAGAATGGGTTTTAAGAGCGAGGTAACAGGAGAAAATGATCAGTACATGTAGTTTCACGTTTTTAACGAAAAGTACATGTAGGTCTGAACATGTAATACAGCAACAGACTAACACATAAAAACGAGGACAGCCGGAATATGTAGGTTATAGAGTATCCATTCACTGTTCGATCCTTGTTGCTTAGGACGCGGGCGTGCTACCCGTGCTGATACTGGCAAATATCTTACCGTATAATACAAGTGTAACGACCGGGTCAACAACTATAACACGCAGTCAGAAATATTTACTCAATGAAATAACTAGCGGCAAACGTGTCCACATAGGTCTCAGTGGCCTCTGGTATTATGTTTCGACCTAAGCGGCGACACACACACCCTATCGTACAGGTATTGTTAACGTAAAATTTCGATTATTATTGGACTTAGTGGCAAGCACTGACCGGCAGATAAACCGACATCACACAGATATAGCCAAACGATGTTTTAAAGATATTTTATGATAAATACTTTGACGGCAAAATAAATAAAGCATTGAGTATCGATGGTCTTACCTTTCCGCTGTTAATCAACAATCCTACTTCACGTTTTTAAAGTTTGCGAGTGGGTAGGTGGAAGCGTGGACGCACCAAGTTCTGCTCTCACGTGACTGCTAATCTATTGTGACGTGGGACCAACCCGGGTACCCAATAAGTATGGTTTACTTCCACTATCGGAAATTAATCGAAACGGGTCAATACATGCCGTGGCAAGCAAACCCGACTGTTAGCATAATTGTCTAAATAATTAGTCTGGAATAGAATGATATAACATAAATCCTGCTGTTGCATTCTGTTTAAAATGCGACGAGGAGAACGATGTCACAATAAGCTGTATACGACTTCAATCTGGAGTACAAGAATGACGCGCTATTTACACGAACAGTGTTGACGACGGGTTTCTAGGTATGTAAACTTTGGCTATTATCTTACGAAATCGATCAGTGGACAAACGAATCATGTGACAGAGATTGGTCACTTAATACCTCACCTCTGTTGACATTTAAAATGACAATAATTTTGATATAAAAAAAGAGAGAACAAAAAAAAAAAAAAAAAACCGAGCTGAAATGTCTCCGGTTACTCCAATTTTTCATTTGATCACTGTGAGAGAGATCACTTCCATGATTGTGTCCGGGCCAATGATAGACACTGACATATTTCACATCTTTGTCTCTTTCAAAACATAAGAAATAACAAAAACATGGAGTGTAATGTTTACTTACGCTTATGGTAGTCGCCAAAATTAAGAGGCTTTAGATCTTATAACATGATGTCTACCTTTATCCACAATACAATATGCTCGTGACTTTGATACTTACATATAATAGCCATATACTATATCATTTCTAAAGTCGGCACGTAATGGCTTAGTTCTACGGAAGGGATAGAAGAGAAAAATCTAGTAGCGTCTTAGGTGCTTGTCTCTCTACACTGGTGCCTGGAAGTTGTCTCTTCAGTAGTGGCTGGTAGATTTCTCTACACTGGTGCCTGGGAGTTCTCTCTACACTGGTAACAAGTAGTTGTCTCTTCAGTAATGTCTGATAGTTAACGATTACCAGTGTAGAGATAACTAACAGACACCAATGTAAAGATAACTAACCGTCATCAGTGTAGAGATAACTAACAGTCACTAGTATAGAGATAACTTATAGTCACCAGTGTAGAGATAACTTACAGTCATCAGTGTAGAGATAACTAACAGTCACCAATGTAGAGATAACTAACTACGGTTAGTTAGCTATTTCTACACTGATGACTGTAAGTTATCTCTACATTGGTGACTGTTAGTTATCTCTACACTGGTAACTGTTAGTTATCATTAAACTGGTGACTGTTAGTTATCTCTACACTGGTGAATGTTAGTTATCTCTACACTGGTGCCTGTCAGTTATCTCTACACTGGTGACTGTTAGTTATCATTCCACTGGTGACTGTTAGTTATCTCTACACAGGTAACTGTTAGTTATCATTACACTGGTGACTGTTAGTTATCTCTACATAGGTGACTGTTGGCTCGACATTTGTATGAATTGTAGCATTCGTTACACTACTAGACTGTAGCTATCTCTACACTGTTACATTGCTGATGGTTTTTGCTCACAAGCAGTTGATAGATTTCTCTACGCTGTTTATTGGTATGTTTCTATACACAGACAATAGGTGGTTATTACTACACTGGTAGTTACTTCTACATTGGTAGTTGGTACATTTTCCTTCACTGTTAGTCGATAGACTTTTCTGCATTGTTAGCTTGCAGATTGTCTACATTGGCAGTTGACAGATTTTTTTCTACGCTTGAAGTCAGTAGATTTATTCTACACTGGAAGTCGGTAGATTTTTCTGCAATGATAGCTGGTAGCTTTTTATACACTAAGTCTTTTTCTGCACAGGTAGTCGGTAGACTTTTCTCCAATGGTAGTCGGTAGACTTTTCTCCAATGGTAGTCTGTAGACTTTTCTCCAATGGTAGTCGGTAGACTTTTCTCCAATGGTAGTCGGTAGATTTTTCTCCAATGGTAGTCGGTAGACTTTTCTGCACAGGTAGTCGGTAGACTTTTCTCCAATGGTAGTCGGTAGACTTTTCTCCAATGGTAGTCGGAAGACTTTTCTCCAATGGTAGTCGGTAGATTTTTCTACATAGGTAGTTGATAGTTTTTATACACTATGGTTCGTTATGTCATGTAGAAAATGGAGTAAGATACAATTTTATCAGTAAGTGAAACATATCAGAAAGATGTTTTTTCCTAAACAGGTAAATCAACACTTACTGACCATATAATTATTGAGGAGAGTTTTTTTTATAAACTTAGAAATTTAACTCAATTTATCGGAGCATGTTCTAGTTATTAGTTCAATCATAGAAAAAACAAACACGGTTTAATTGGAAGAAAGTTGTCACTAAGATATATAGACCGCAGCAATACATGAATATTAGAACTTGTCTCGCATAAAGTGAATCTAGGTGCGAAGGACATAGAGAAGTATCATTGTAAAGTTGTAAGTGTAATATATAATGCTCCTTTAGAATCTACTTAAAGCATTATTGGAACGATCAGTTATCGGAGTTTCCCTGTAAAACGAGAAGAAACTGGAAGAAAAGGAATGTTGAAAGTAAACCACTGGGCGGTGTCTCGTCTCGGAACATTACAAAGAATACAAATTGATGAAAAAATAGGAAAAACCTTAAACAAACATTTGATAGATATATGCCTGAAAAATTGAATGAAGATAAAGCAGAAGATATCGATCTGAAACGTTTTTGGTATCTATTTAGGAATAAGACAATTAAAAAAACGTTGTTGCCAAAGCGAATTCACATGTGATAACCCCCCCTCCCCCCGAGATTCAGAAACGGGCTTCGAGAAAATGTTCGGGGATGGTTGTAATAGTATTGTGATGAAAACTACAGGGTCGACAGTTTCAATAGAAATGAACGTTTTTGAAGATGATAATTTTTTGAAAGACCCAGTTCATGCCAAGCTTAGGGACATGCCGTACAGTTAAAGGGGAGTAACTCTGTTACAAGTAATTTTTAAATGCTTTGAAATTATTTTACCGAACTGATTGGAATCAGTTTTTACTTGTAAAATCCAAACTAGCAGCAATAAACCACAGGAGCTGTGTAATTGTAAACTATATTCAATGTTTATAACAAAGACAGAGAAGAAGATTCCGTAGCTTTCTTCAGATAGTAACAAGGTATGCGATATAACTGTTTATTGTACGAGTTATCTAAAATATGGTCAATGGAAAGTCCTGGCATACATACACAGACGCACTATTTTACTCAGTGGTTTCAGATAAGGATGGGTCCGTATGGAAAGAGGATTTCACAGTAGTGTGTATTGTCTGCAAATAGGTATCTTGTATTCTCTCATTTCCACCTGTGTCAGGTAGGCCTGTCCAGGGTAATAAACATGGCTATGATAGACGTTTATTACACAGGCGCCTGTGTAATAAAGCCTCGCGCGCGGAGTAATTAATAGTTTTTTCCCACGCACTCATCGACTATGTCCTCGTCAACCGCTTCATCCACAAACACGCATAGTCGATTGGAGTCGTTGCTTGCAGGCTCGTATTTACAAAACTGTTCTATAAATATCAACATCACCAACCCTGGGACTCAGTCTTTCCGCCGTCGTCCACGTGTGTTTGAAAGTGACAGTGACTAACTTTCCTCCTGTCGGTGTGGCGCGAAATGTATGACGTAAGAGACGTTATCACACAAGCAAACCAAGAATTCCATTCATAAATGTGTAAGATTTGTAAGATTACTATTGACAGTAAAGTAGTATTAATAACTTGACCAACATGTACAAAGATGTTAAATGTGTTTATGATATATTATACATTGAACAATAGTAAATATTAAAAAGAAAAGTGTTGTTTTATTGCGTGTTTTAAGACACTATATTTGAACGCGTATGCATGTCTCTGGGTGACATATTTGACAGGGTATTTGACCCGGCCCGCTTGAAGAAAAAACATTTAAACACTGACGTTGGATGTTTAACATTCGGGGATGGAGAATCTATTTCAGCAATTTTTTTACGTATATAAATCAAGGGGAAAAATAGAATTCTGAAAAATGGCGGCGTCCAGTGCTGGCTACCGCGAGGTGAGTGCAAATATTTGATAACATGAGATTAGAAATGAGAGAAAAAACTCTTTTCTATATGGGTTTGTAGGATAGGTATATTCCACCCTCGGGATCACAAAATGTGGTCATATTTTGTGACCCCTCGGGTGGAATATCCCTATCCTACATACCCATATAGAAAAAGAGTCTTGTATTCTTTAATAGATTGGAAAATCTTGAATGGTTGCCATTTTGACTGATTTAAGGATTAATATACCAAACAAGCAGATGATATATATTTGGGTAACTTACAGAACGTAGAAGTTTACAAAGTTAAGCCTATGTGAAGATTACAATAGAAACTTCATATTTCTTCCAGTGAAGAATGTGTTCTTCCAAGAACAAAGAAACGAAGGCCGGGTACGTAATTATGTCCACACGATATAACGCATGTTTGCGTCATGTTGAGCAATAATTCTAACGGTATGGGATGTACAGCACGTGCTTGTAAAAGTGTCGTGTTTTGAGTCCATAGCGGGAAATACTTGTCCTTTGAGATATATACAGAGTTACTGTTCTTGGCGAGTGAACAGTTTCATGTACATGAAAGTCCGAGTTTGTTGAGTTTTCCGTCCGTTGTTCGCTATCGATGAAAAATTAACTCTATTGCTTTCGGCGAATTATAGTTGAAGTATTCATGAAAATGTACAATTAATTTCTAATTTAAAAGCAAACGGAATTTCACCGTCAAAAAAGGTTATCGTGAAGTCAGGAGATAGTCCGTGACTGTATACCGAGAGTACTCCTTGCAGGGGTTCCCCTGGTTTTGCGTTTATAACTTTTCTTTTTCTCAGCCAATCGCATATTACTTTTAAAATGACGTAGGACGATTATCCATCATCTTATTATACCAACCAATGAAATCGCTTGAATAAAGCAAATGTCGTCATTTCGATCTTATTTAGAGTCGGGAAATTCCAACAAAGGGAATTTCTTACCC